CCCCAAAACCCCAAAACCCCAAAACCCCAAAACCCCTTGATGATTATTAGCAGTATGAATTTATAACGTATTAATTATTATCAACGTTTACAAATAAAATGAGTAAGAATAAATCACTTCTAATTTCATTTCTTAGGCAATTTCAATAGATCATCGTAGAAGGACATTTGTACTCTTAACTTAAATTATTTGATAAATTATTTTAGATGGAAGTAGTGCCAAGAGGAAGGGAGGAGCTTACTGGGCGTCAAGTAATGTAGACGAAGAAGAAAAGCAACCAGGTTTGAGAGATAAGAAATATGAAGGATATTCTAATCTCAAGGGAAGTCATGAGCAAGCCCAGAAAAAAACTTAGAGACTGCAAGAGAATCAACTAGCTAAAAACCTTGAAGAGGAATACATTCTGAATATGCAAAAGCAAGTTGTGTTGATGGAACATGAAATTAAGTTGCTTAAGGATAGAGAAGTAGATTAGAAGAATAAAGCTAGTGGCTATGAAACACTACTTAGAGATGGAATCCCCCTCAATGAGCACTTCTTAGCTCTTAAAAATAAGTTCAACAATGAAAAAGATGACCTTGAAAAATACTCTAAAAATCTAGAAGATGAAATTAAAAGAGAGGAAATGAATAATAAAAATAAGAGGCATAAGATTGAGATACTCAAAAGAGAACATGAAGAGATATCCAGAAGCTTCAATCTATACAAGGAGAAGACTACCAATGACATCAAGGCGTAAGAAAGCTAATTTTCATAACTTATTATTTAGTCTTGAAACAAAATTGTATAATGAGAGACATACTAAAGTAATTTTAGATAAGGAGAGATAAATCCTGGCAAAGAAATTGGCGGAAGTCAAAAACAGTAACTAATAAATGAATAGAGAGATCCAAAGAAATAAAATGTTTAACAAAAAAGATGAGGATAGAAAGGCAAAGAAGGAGCAGGCTGACAAATTTAGTATTATTGTCAGAGATTAAAACAAAGACATTGAGGAGCATGACATTAAATTAGATTAGGAAAAAAGAAGATTAGATGATAGAGGGCTAATTAAGAAGCAAATGGAGGTAACCATGCAACTAAAGCAGGATGCCAATAAAGTAGGAATAGATATTTCAATTGCTTAAAGCAGAATCAAGGACCTAGAGGGGTTAAAGGAGATGACTTATCTCTAGCTAAAGGACATTATTTCTGATAAAAGAGTAGTTGATAAGGATAATGAAGACACAGAGTAGAAAATCGCTGGGAAAGGCATGACTGAATAAGAACAGAGAGCCAAATAATTAGATGCCGAAAGAGAACAGCTTAAGAAAATTTCAAACTCCTTGAAGTTCTAAAAAGAAATCGCTACTAATCTCATGGAGAGACTCAAAGAGGAAGAGACTAAGGCTAAGGATATGCTCGACGAGAAGATCAAGCAGCAATAGTAACTAAACTAAGATACAGTTGATTTGAATGAAATGAGGTTATAGTCAGCTAAAAACAGAGAGGAGTTAATCAAACTTCAAATTAGGTTATCACAATTATTAGCTTCTGAGGAAAGAATGATTGAGGAACTAAAAAGACTTAGAGCTGAAAATGATGCATTTATTAAGGACAATATAAAGTTAGAGGAAGGAAACGCTAAATTACACAAGGAGATTAACTTAACTATCCAGAAGATTGATATAAATGTACTTCTCAAGGAAATCGATATCGAAGACATGAGGTTACTTGCTCAAAATAACAAACAAATGAATTCAGCCCTTAATAACTTAATTGGAAAATGGGAGTAGATCCAAAAACTGGACGCATGATAATCAATAGCTATCATATAATGAAGATTTTTCACTGGGCTTTAAGCTTTATTAATCATAATTGCATATTGATCACGATAAATAATGTTTATTTTCAATGTTGTTGAAAATAAATATAAGAATATAAATATACGAAATGGCTGAAAATATAGTTGGACTTGAGGAGTAAGTTTTATAAATATTTCTTAATATCGAAATTTAGGGATTAACACAATTAGATTGATGTTTTTGAATTTCTGAGCTTACAGAAGAACGCCATCTCTCTTGAGATAGCAGAGACTATGAGAAACAAGATTCTTAAAAGATTTGAAGCTCAAGTTAAAATTCATGATTTGCTTATTTCAGGCTCAGCACCTTATTCTATAAACCAATACATAGCCCAACTCAACTCTGCTATCTTGGAAGAAGCAGTAGCCTAGGATAAGGGTGAAAGAATAAGACACCCATCTGAAAAAATCTAGCATGAATGGGATGATGGCGAAGAAGTTGTAAGATTTATAAATAACTGTATAATTTCCATTTTTTAGATAGCTGCCTCGATTGATACACATGCTGCATATTTCCTTAATGTTATTAAGAAAGATTCTCCTATGAGTAAGATTCCTGCAATTTAAAGATTGATTTAGAGAACATACCTGCTGAACTATCATAGATTGAAAAAATAAATCAGATGAAATTAAAGTCAATAGTGAACTTTGATGATGAGGACATGCTTTCACATACTAGCAAAGTCAGAAAAAATATATCGAGAGTCCAGTCAAATGCAACAGTCAAAAGGACACCTGCAATAATTGTAAGAATTAATACACTTATTTGAGTAGGAGAAAGCAGAGCCTGAATATAAGTAAATTCCTTTAATTAGAGAAAACATCGATGATGAGTTTACTGAGATTGAGGTTTACAGAAAATAAAAGCAGAGAGACTACGACAGAAAAGAAGAAGAGCGCAAGAAATAAGAATAATTAAAACGAAAATTAAATGATATTCAAAGAGAACAGAGAAATCAAGAAGAAGAACTTTCTAAGAAACAATATACTTATGACTCAAAAGGTGATATCATATTAGTGAAAAATGTAAATACTGAGTAGCTTGGAAAGGATGTTAATCTTGAGTTAAGATACAATTTAAGAAAGCTACCTTCATCAACCAAAGGTCTCTATGCTTTTGAAAAATTATCTCAAAAAACTTAAAGTGTCATTTCTAAAAAAAGAGATTCCAAGAGCAATTCTTAACCTGAAGACAATTAAGAAGATATTGATAAACCATCTAAGAAAAATAAGAATCAAGTAGATTTCTTGCAAACTGGAAAAAATTTAAAGCTAGCATTCCAAGGAATGAAGCAGGTATAAAATGTTATAATCCCAATGGGTTCAAACTTTGATAAAATAGAACCTGATATTGGAGTTGTCCTTGAGGAGAAAGGTAGGGCTAAAAAGGGATAGAGCGCAACTAATCAAGTAGCTGGTAAACTTTCAAGGTAGGACTACAATGCTAGATTCAGTAAAACTAGCATAAATTTCTCTTCAATGGACAGCACAATTCTCAATTAAAATATGATGACAACTTAAAACTCAATGCTTGGAGCCGATTTATACAAGCAAAGAGTTAGTTAGGTGCAAACCTTCAAGAACACTACAGACACTGAGTAATCACAAATCAAGTTGCACAATGTTCCCAAGCTTAATATAGACTAGTCCTAAGACTATAATAATACTCTTCAGCTGAGCTAACCAATTAATGATTCTATGATTTATAATCATATGAATTAAACCTAATCATTTCATTCAAGAGACAAGATAAACATTAAAACTAAAGCTCCAAATCACCAATCACTCCTTTTAAGTCCCCTAAACTTAAACAACAGAGATTTTTTCTCAACATCTCAAAACTTTAACTCTTCCTTGAATTCTACTAGTCAAAGTTTTCTACCTAATGCAAATTTTAACAACTAAATGAATAAGACAAAGTCCTAGCTATTCTTGCATAAGAATTTACCAAAGCTGCATGAAGAGGAACATGACGATTCATTCACTTTACCTCCACTGAGAAGCCAACTTGACGATTTTAACAAAAATATTGCATAAAATAATGGTGTGGCACTTATGGGAGAGTAAAATTAGGCCAAAATGAAGCAGTAAAAAATGCCTGTGACTTAAATTAAGAGTATTCTCAAGCAAAATAAGCTTAACAAATAAATGAGTCACACCCTGACTGGATTTAAGTTAAGTGAGAGCAATTAAAGTTTGCTTATGAGCATGAAATCAACTCAGATAGGCTTCGGGTTAAATCAGAGATCAAGACCATATATTGAAAAAGTACCCTCAAACAATAAAAATCATTTGCCTCCTCCACCTCTTGGAAAGTCTTTAGGACATGGAATTAATTGACTAAAATTAATATTACTAATAATTTTTAATATAAAATTTCTATACCTTTACTTGCTAAATTAATCAATGAAGGGGTTTTGGGGTTTTGGGGTTTTGGGG